CCCTCTCTCTCTCTGTCTCTGTCTCTGTCTCTGTCTCTGTCTCTCTCTCTCTCTCTTACTCTCTCTTTCTCTCTCTTACTCTCTCTTTCTCTCTCATTCAGTCTCTCTCTCTCTCGCTCGCTCTCCGTAGCTTTGTTTTTAAATGAATAATCCTCGTTTATACAGCAACATCCCATCATTCTTGATTAACAACACCCAGTGTTCCCATCATTTTCCCAAAAGTGCACCTGTGTAACCTTTCAATCCACACAATTTTACATCAATAGTCGTATAGTACATTCTGCCCCTTAGAATTCATTGAGGCAATGGGGGAAGAAACTGAGGCCCTGAGCATCTCATATAACATGTGGTTGAAAGAATAATTAGCCTTTAGCAGTTTCAAATAAGTAATATTTTAAGTCTGAACAATATAAAAGCTATTTTCTAAAAGTAAAAAGGTGGACACGTATTCACCTTGTCGATTGCTATTAGAACAATATTTTTTTTTTTTTAACTTTCAATGTGGCACTTCGGTAATGATTCCATGAGAATTGAATATCTAGCGTTGTTCAGGTTATACATCTAAACGTCAATGCATGTTTAGGGGGGGCGGGAGGGGGATATGGATGAAAGCTCCAAGCCTACAAAGAGGATCCTAATTAGTTTTCTTAGTCTGCTTTCAAATCGTAAAACATCACGAGTTTAGCCTGGGGTTCTTTTCTTCTGGAATGTGGCTAGAGTGGCTGGGAGAATTTGCTTCTGAAAGACCAAATTCTAATCAAGCCAAATGCAACCCAAATAAAAAGAAAACGTTGTTGTCAGGCAGTAGATTACAAGGTTACAGTCGCTTGTCGCTGAGAAAAGATCGTAGCGGAGGCGAGCGATTGTGCCGAGAAGTTAAGGAATATACTATAAAAAGATCCCGGTATTCTTAACCTTACAACGGGGCTCTTTGTGCTTAGAGGTTAAGGCGTTCGCCTCTAAGTCCCGAGTTCAAATCCTGATAGCGACAGAAAATTTTCTTCTCTAAAAGTGTCTCCTTTTACCTCCCTTCCTGCTCTCTAGCAATGTTCTGTCATCTGCTTTCGTCTTCACTTTCTGCCCCCACCCCTCACTGCCTTTGCCCCTTCCTCTGGGTTCCTGACTCTTTCTGCAGACTTTCAACTGCTACTCCTTGTCTCCTTACCGCTGCCTTTAAAGGAAAGATCTACACCTAGCATTCTCGGACAAGGGCGAAAAATCTGGGACGTGTGAAAGTTGCACACAATAAAGATCCACTGGTAGTCCAAAATCGATAAGAGTAGGCTTCGGCCGCCACCCGAGAAAAATTCAAAATTATGTACCAACTGATGGTGTTAAATGTGTCCCGCGCGCTCATACTATGACCTTACGCAGTTGCGAGCGCCGTACAACAACGCTTATTAAATTTTTTTTTATAAAGAAACCCCCCAAAAAACTTACGACTCTGCATTCCCTTTGGCTGTTCTGTCGCTCCCGTTCATCCATCTATCCATTCACCCGTTCATCCATCCACCCATCGATCCATCCACCCATCGATCCATCCATCCATCGATCCATCCATCCATCATTCCATCCATCTGTGCTGTTGCCAAAGTCTCAAAGATCATGCAACGTATACAAAGTATGCATATAAATAAACAAGGAATAGCAAACAAAGCGTGGTAAAGGCACGACGTATTCACATAGTACCACGCTTTACCCAAAATATCACACATTTAGAAGAAAAAAACCGTATAGATTATAGACAGATAGATAGACATATTGCTAGGGAGAGAGAGAGGGAGAGAGAGAGAGGGGGAAGGTTGAGGGAGGAACAGACGGAAAGAAAAAAAAACAGACTTAAAGAGAGAGAGAGAAA